GGTATAGGAATTCCAGGACAATGTTATAGCATGGAATTTGCTGAAACAATGATCCGTTCTGAGATATGAGATTCACCCTGGGGTACGTGACACGCCCATTATCCAATTGATACCGCCCCAGCAAAACCCCTTCAGTACCTCTGGCCGTACTGGCTACTTTGACTTATTTATTTAGCAAATATTGCGGCTTCCGCATGACAACCATTACATGTAAAGTGGGCGGCCGATTGTCCAATTACCCATTTTCAAACTGTCGAAGGAGATACTAAGAAGACTTAGCTGAACGAATTTTACACATCTTAGTGGTTTGTGGATACATACAGGTTATGAGGTAGACGGTTTTAGGGTGACCTTGATGTTTCGCAGTTTGACCCCTGGCATAGAAGAATAAGTAGTAAATGGTCAGCGCCAGCTACCTTACGGTGGCATTATGTATCTTCAGGACGACAACACTGTTAAATTTAACGGTATGAAGATGATTTATAAAATATTAATATTTATTATTCCTAATATTAGGGTAAAGTAAAAAGTTCGTCGGGTTTTATTCCAGCAGAGATGCATTATTGTCCATAGTATTAGTAAGCATGCGTCGCATCACAACATACCGGCATTATGCTGAAAACGTTTATTCGCGCTAAAACACTGACAGTTTTCACGATGACCTAGAAGGTGATGCTGCCAAAGATGGACATCAGAAAAGAGGAAATTATGAGATGGCACTTTTTCTGATTAAGGAAAAGTATTTCAAAGCGGCTGAAAATTAATTTGAATTATGTGTCTGATAGTGTAAACGGAATGTGTAGTAGAAAGTGGTTTGTTAGGTTCTGTTCCGGACGTCGGGAGGCCTGTTGCTGAAGATTGCGATAAAATCATGAAAATAGTGTTCATAGACCATCACATGAGTACTATTAATTGAGGAACCAAAGGTGTCAGAAAACTTGTTGAAACCATTTGCATAAACTTTGATTCCGGAAAGAAGTCGATGTTTGGGGTGCCACAGAACTAACTCAAAAGATGATGACCGAATTCAATCTGCGAATCGCCGCTGAATCAACAAAATCGACCCGCTTGAAGTGGATTGCACCTGGCGGATGAAAATGGGCCACGGTACAACATCGAGCGTAAACATCGGCCAGCCTGGGAAGCGTCCAGACGGTGGCCAAGACCGGACGATGTTGTGGAAGGTCGCTGTGTTTGCGGGATTGGCGGCGAATCATCTATCGAGCGTTCCCGGCATGTCGCCTGACGGCCCTGTCGCCACCAGCGCCGGACCGCTTGCGTCGCACTTAATATCCAGCGAGCGAGCTACCCGACAACAGGCCGAATTTGTGTTCCCATCGACAACGCCAGGCCGCTACGGTTTCCTTTCAGACGTCAGAAGTTCGTATTTGAGGAGTGGTCCGCACGCACCCACCTGAGAAGGACCTGGGCACCGCGATTACCATCTTTTCTCGTCCATGGCGAATGCGCTTTAATGCAGGAGAAGTTAATTCGGGCGAGAGTTCGTGAAACTGACTTGATTATTGCCACAGGCGGCGCAGCCTCGGCCGAGAGGGTACGAAGCGGCAGACCGTTACGTCAGTTTAGTGAACAAACCGGTACATGATCTGAACGTTACGCACAAAGTATCTCTTTAGAAAATCAGCAGCACTGAATCTTTACTTTTATTTCATTATTAGAATAAAATGAATACGTGTGTCAGGAGGTAAAATAATTGAACAATACACCTGCTCGTTTCGTGAATTCTTTGCACCAGCGACCTTGGCAGCAACCTGGCCAGCAACAAGGCACGAATGTAATTCAAAGAAAACAGTGGCGCAAAACTTTCGCATTAGACTTAATGGCGGTTTTTAGCGGTCTGGCTTTATCTGCAGTTTCCATTGAGACATTGGTTCATTTGACGCTTAAAGGCTACTCAACATTTCTTGACCTTCGGTAAGCGCGTTGTAGACTTTATATATAGGCATGATTTAGTGGATCACTAAATAAAGCGGTCACCAGAACTCTGTTGAATAATACTTAAGCAGCAGCTGAGCACTTAATTCATTTTAAATGTGACTAAGCTCTTCTTCTAAACAAATCATTATCTGAATTGACCTGTACGCGAGATAAACATATGTGGGCTTAAGTACATATATACTGCAAACCGCTTCGAAGAAATATAAAAACATATTTCTTGTTGGATAACAAAATTTTTGCTGAATTTTGCATTCCACCTTTATCTTATAAAACGAATTTGATTTAAGCTGTATACTTCACATAATTTATTTTATAACATTACCTTAGAATTCAATTAATTTTTATTTTACTATATATAAATCAAACATCACTTAAAGATATTCACACATCGGAAAATTTGTCGAAACGGATCATTGCCGAGCCCGAGATCTAATATAAACTCATAGATGACCCCACCTAAGCCTCAGCATACATATCACTTCTACACTGCCCGGTAAAACGGGCACACCTTAAATAAACACACTCCACCTTGAGAACACTAACAGATTAAGTAAATTAACATCGAAGACATCACACAAATAAGATAAATAACACACATAACCAACTATCAAATGAATTGGAAAATTGTTTACCTCCTTCAAATTACAACAAACCGCTTCAAACACCAAATTATGATCTGATTACTATATTAGGGATCCCAGTAACAACACCTGTTTTTAATCAGCCCTATATATCTTTAATATATAAAATCAGTGTCCGTGTGTGTATGTTCCGGAACGAACCTAAAACGAGTCAATTGATATTCGCGCAAGTTGAATATACAATTTGGTCCACCTAAATGATAGGTAGTAGCATTATTGGGTTCCGGAATGATGACGCCTAAAGGAACTTCCGTACAGAGAAAACTTTAATGACTATTTTAAATTTTTCTAAAAGGACTGATGTACACGTTGAAAGAGCCCATAAAATCAATTGAACAGAGAGCAGAGAATTGTAGTTCTAAAGACCCGCACAGTTGAAATTCGTGTCGAGAACTGGCGATACAGCGTGATAATCGTCGACAAGAAAATGTATTGAGAATCAGCGTGGCAACGTCAACAACAATATGGGATTTATTTAGAGAACAAACAGAGAAACGAGAACAAACAGATATCACCATCGGCCTGATGCCAATGCCTAATGTAGAGATCCAAAATTTCTTCAGATCTATTTATATGCACTGTGAAGAACGTTTTACAGTCCTGATGCCAGTATAATTTCATTGAACAAACGAGAAGAAAGAAGAGCAGCAATAGGCTGTCGCTTATAATTAGTAATCAATTGTCTAATTGTTTTAAAAGATGTCACCACACTATAAATTGACAATGGCGAAATTACATCAGTGAAAACAAAAGTACCTTCGGTGAATACTGCCGGAAGATTGGGCGCATCGTTTTCGATGGAATTGGCGCTATGGTCGGTGATCCAGTTGACAACAGATCCATAAAATTACACGCTGAGATAATTCAAGAGCAGTTCATATTTACACCGTTCGTACGATGCACCCAGTACCCACCGACATTCCCTGCGGGCGACAAGTATTTTGATATCATATCAACATTAAACAGGTGATCCAGTCAATGGTAATACCAATAAAAGTTAGTTCAATGAATCACAGTTATGCATATCGATTACTGATTGACATAATTAGACAATCCATATCCTTCGATATCGCCAATTGTATCATCAATACGTTGTGGATATGTTTATAAGATTGAGCAAACGTTTGCGATTCAGTCTTACCGAACCAACCGAACCACGATCAGAGATTTATTTATTTCATTCTATTCACTTACGTTATTGCTGGAATGTCGATGGAAATTTAAACACCAATGAATCGGCAGTGCTGTTATTTTAGCTTCCAGCCACAGGTAGCCCATGAAATGATGCAAGAATACATAGAGATGCAATGACTTGCGTACGTCATTACGGTCGTCCAGATTTGTCTTATAAGATTTATGTGTAATCCAAATCAAGAAACTTATCTTTACTATTACCAGGTCAACAATCAATACATCGTCATTGCGATATCAATGAGTGTTTAAACAAAAGTTGAAATGTCTGATTGATTTTATTGTATTTTAAACGGTTTTCGGCCAAATGTGTTGTTGGCTGCATTTAATTGAGTGGAAACGACGCTGCCTCATGTTCATATTTTAATTTAGTTTGAAGGATAAAATTTTCAAGATGGGAATGGTAATTGATCAAGAATTATTGAAATATTAAGTCATATGGTGATCTTGCGGACCGTGGAGTTTTTAACATGATCACCACATGAAAATGTAAGAAAATTTTCTCCAAGTAATCCACAAACGATACACCTTTATTACTGATATTGATGGTTATCCGTTGTATTGCTGCAGAAACGCTGATAATGTGGTGATACATATAAAATGAGACCACCCTGAAAATAATTTAAACACAATCAATGGCACCATACTTTCACCACTACTCTTCAAACGCATGGGCGTCATTTTTAATGTTGAGTTTTGCAGCGTTCTGTCAAACTAATCAGAAAACTTAATAAGGTCGTATCAATGTATTTTGAAGTACAAATATAAAATCGAAAATGATGAACAACACTGCCACCAAATGGGTGGGGACATAGTAGCAAATACCAGCTTTATCCGCGTATACTTAGCTTTCCATATGCAGATCGTGCTATAGGGTCTTGCAGTTCATCTCGAAATGGATAACGTGTATTTACTTGCAAAATATCTTCCAAAGTGACATTTGAAACCGCACTAAAAGCGACATACAGAATTTTTCACCTTTGTCGCAAAAATTATGTAAAAGTATTACCTACTTGCAAAACATATATACACCGATGATTCCATGTTATTTTGACATGAACAGTCAAGCTAAAATGAAACACGTTGTAAGGGAGAACTACGTCCTCAATTGTGCATATTTTTAGCGAAGATGATGTCAACTTTATACAGGCTATCCGAAACAACGATGTTTTCGCGTTTATTGTTGGTGAATGTTCCTGGACCTATCTCTTTACAATTTTTACCAACAGTTAATAGCCAAGTGTTCAGTACGTATAAAGATGCGAGTCACGCTTTGCAACTTTTGGAAGAAGAGATTTTCCAACGCAGTCATCTACATTGTGGGAAAAATATAAGAACTACATGACTGAAGATATACTATACCGACATAAGCAAACCACTGTCCAAACTTAGACTTCACACAAGATATGTATAACTAACCATTACTCACAAAATATCGATAATCGAATGTACGCAATCCGCGAATAATCAAAATTCCCCTTTTCTTTTGAACACACCTCGTACTATACTAATATTATTTCTATACTAAAATAATCATTACTTCAAGAAATAAGTTTGATCCTAAAATTCTACTCTTTATATATTTATATATTCGAAATTCAGTTTTACATGACTTGATTATCTTTCTTTGATTTACAGGCTTTATGTTCGAATCATCGCTGAACCTAAGAATAATAAAGTGTCCAGAAAAAGTTTGTCAAAAATTGGATGAGCATTATTTTGAATGCTGGAAAGGACTGAGGAAAATTCGAATACTTATTCTTGATATTTGTACGTTGGAAGTGAACTTTGAATGATTGAAACCACTGAACCAGAATTGTGCTTTAAATTTAAAATTAAGTTAAAAAGGCAAATTTTCAAAATAAAAAAATAGATGTGTAAGTGTCTAATATAGGATGTTATGGCTTAACTATTGGTATAGCATTATTTTCTGTTACTTCAACTTACCGAAACTTGGCAACTACGGAATGTTGTCACGCCTACAAATTGCCTTTAGTCGAAAAACTATAAAGCCTATGACTATAGCTGTTATTAAAATGTTGTATTAAGGGCGTAGCTCTGTTTTCTAATAGGTTTAAAATACATATGTATATCACAAACCACTAAAGACATATAAAAAGAACTTGTTTGGACAATGTGCGTCCAATTTTAAGTGAATTCCTGTAACTCAACAAGATAACAAAACACTCGATGTATACGTGTTGAAAGAGGTCATAAATCAATAGAACAGAGAGAAGAAAGAAATGTAGCTCAAAGAATTTGCACAGCTGAAATTCGTGCCCGAGAACCACGAGCACAGCGTGATAATCGGCGACAAGAAAATGCATTGAGAATCAGGGTGGCACGTCAACAACACCTAGATTTATTTAGAGAACAAAACCGAGAAACCCATCGGACCAACCGCACTGTGACACGTGGATCATTTGTTCGTTTTGCATTTAATTATGAACCAGATATCAATTACTCGGCCTGATGCCAATCCCGAATGGAGATCCAAAATTTCTTCAGATCTATTTTACATGCAATTGTGAAGAACGTGTTACAACTCGATGCCAGTATAATTTCATTGAACAAGCAGAAGAGAGAGCAATTGTATTGTCATTACAATTAGTTTTAGAGAACAGTAATCAATTGCTTCAATTGTTTGAAAGAGTGTCACCACAATTAAAAAGTGACAATTATGAAATTGTCATCAAAGCGGACAAAGTACGTTTCGGAGAACACGCCGGAAGATTCAATGCATCAACCGTTGATGAAGTTGCTATTATTATGTTCGGTGATCCAGTTTACAACAGATCCATAAAAATTACACGCCGAGATAATTCAGTGAGTAGAATTTCATATTTACACCGTTCGTACGATGCACTCCATTACCCACTGATATTCTGGCAAGGACAAGACGGATATCATATCAACATGAAACAGTGTGATCCAGTCAATGGTAATGCATTAAACAAAATAGTTAGTTCAATGAACTAATATGCATATCGGTTAATGACTAGACATAATTGGGACAACTATATCCTTCGATATCGTCAATTGTATCATCAATACGTTGTGGATATGTTTGCTAAGATTGAAAGCAAACGTTTGCGATTCATCAGAGGATTTCATTTCATTTTATTCATTCACTTACGTTAGGCTATTGTTGGAAAGGTCGACGGAAATTTAAACACCAATGAAATCGGCAGTGCTGCTATTTTACCTTCCAGCTACATAGGTAGCCCACGAAACATGAAAGAATACATACAGGATGCAATGACTTATGTACGTCATTACGGTCGTCCAGATTTGTTTATAACATTTACGTGTAATCCAAATTGGGAAGAAATCCTATCTTTACTATTACCAGGTCAACAATCAATACATCGTCACGTTATTACTGCACGAGTGTTTAAACAAAAGTTGAAATGTTTGATTGATTTATTGTATTTTAAATTCAGTTTTCGGCCAAATGTGTTGTTGGCTGTATTTATGAAGATTGAATCAAAACCAGGAAACACCTCGCCACATTAATGGCGAAGATAAAATTCTTCAAGAAATTGGTGATCAGAGAAATGTACTACAAGTCGCATGATTCAACATTGGAGACTTTACGCATGACATCACCATGCGGAAATATAGAAAAATTTTTAAGAAATTCACAAACGTTACCATTACTGATTGTATGCCGTGAAACGCTGATAATGGTGGACACATACAAAATGAAGAACGTCAAATTTTAGCCAATCGGGTGGTACCATACTCACCACTACTCTCCCAACGTACAAGGCAATATTAATGTTGAGCTTTACGTTCTGTCCTCATTATATTTACGTGTTGATAATAAGGTATGATTTAGCCGTATTTGAGTACAAAATATAAATGAGTGATGAAATAACATGCTACGAATGGGTAGATACATAGCAGCAATGAAAACAGTGGCGCATCCTTAGCTTCCGATACACCAGGAACCTGCTATGCAACATCTTGCAGTTCATCGGAAAATGGACAACGTGTATTTCACTGCAGAAAATATCCTCAAGAGCATTTGAACCACCAAAAGACAATCGAATTTTCTCTTTGTCACAAAATGATGTGTATGGTCAATTCCGCCATTATATACACCAATATTCGCGATCTTCACTGGAACTCTCACTAAAAATGAACCACGTTAAAGGAGAAACACGTCCCAATTGCGACCTATTTCGGCACTGGGTCATTTATGCTGCACCGAAACAACGTAAATGCTTTTTTCTGTGTTTATTGTTGGTAAATGTTCCTGGACCTATCTCTTATCAATTTTTACCAACAGTTAATAGCCAAGTGTTCAGTACGTATAAAGATGCGAGTCACGCTTTACAACTTTTGGAAGATGACAACCATTGGGATCTGACACTTGCTGATGCTGCTTTATCGTCCTCGCCGAGTAATATTCGTCAACTATTTGCCATTATTTCGACGACATGTTTTCCAACGCAGTCAAATACATTGTGGGAAAAATATAAGAACTACATGACTGCAGATATACTATACCGACATAAACAAATAAACCACTCTCCAATCTTAGACTTCACACAAGATATGTATAACGAAACATTAATAATGATTGAAGATTTATGTACAATATTATGATCTCAAATTCATCACTTAGTCATTATGGTATTCCATCCTTTAATCGCAAAGCTACAGACTTAGCGCATAGTGATTTGCAGCGAGAAGAACAATTGAATAATAGTGACTTAAATACATTTGTTATTAACAAAGAACCATAATTAACCGACGAGCAGAAGAACATATGCCATCGAATTATATTGTCTGTTGATGTCAAACAAGGCGGTTTTTTCTATTTAGATGCACCAGGTGGGACCGGTAAAACATATTTGATATCTTTCCTTCTTGCTAAACTACGGTCACAACAAAAAATTGCATTAGCAGTTGCATCATCAGGCATAGCTGCTACTTTGTTGGATGGTGGGCAGACAGCCCATTCTGCTTTCAAGCTACCATTAGATATTCATAACAATCCAAATGCAATGTGTAACATCAAACAAGTAAGGAAGGGCTATGTTCGGATGTAACTGAACGTTTTATACTCTCGCAAAGTCAAATGGTATACTCGTTTTAGATTTTTTTGTGGATCTTGCCACGTTGTTCTATGTTGACCGATATTTTCGATAAAAAGTCAATTATAGGCACTGGGGTCCACATATTCTCATCTGGCAGCTTCCATTGAGATGATTGGGACTTAGTCGACGTTAGCGTCATCACCATCTTCTCGACCTTCTGTAAAACGCTTGTATCACTTTTACACATTTAGTGGACTCACTAAGACAAAGTGGACTCACCGAACTCCACAGTCAATATTTCAAGTGCCTTGGAGCACTTTATTTAATTTTTAGCGCAAAATTTAATACATATTTTTTGATCCATTTCTTATAAAAGTCAGAAATCGAAGAGCACACAAAAACGTGACTAACGTTTTGTCAAAAACAAACTACTAATCGAAATTGGCTCCTACTGCACGCACATGATATACATATGTGTCCGATTATCATTCACAAAATATCGATAATCGGATGTACGCAGCCCGCGAAAAATCAAAATTCCCCTTTTCCTTTGAACACACCTCGTATTATACTAATATTATTTCTATACAAAAATAATCATTACATCAAGAAATAAGTTTGATCCTAAAATTTATGTATTCGAAATTCAATTTTACCTAACATGACTTGATTATCTTTCTTTGATTTACAGGCTTTATGTTCGAATCATCGCTGAAGCTAAGGATAACAAAGTGGGCAGAAAAAACTTGTCAAAAATTGGATGAGCAGTATTTTGAATGCTGGGAAGGACTGACTTAATAATTATTATTATTATTTGTATGTTGGAAGTGAACTTTGAATGATAGAAACCACTGAACCAGAATTATGCTTTAAATTTAAAATTAAGTTAAAAAGGCAAATTTTCAAAATAAAAAAATAGATGTGTAAGTGTCTAATATGCGATGTTATTGCTTAACTATTGGTTTAGCATTATTTTCTTTTACTTAAACTTACCGAAACTTGGCAACTACGGAATGTTGTCACGCCTACAAATTGCCTTTAGTCGAAAAACTATAAAGCCTATGACTATAGCTGTTATTAAAATGTTGTATTAAGGGCGTGGCTCTGTCCTCCTAATAGGTTTAAAGTACATATGTATATCACAAACCGATAAAGACATATAAAACAAACTTGTTTGGACAATGTGCGTCCACTTTTAAGTGAATTCCTGTGTCTCAATCTCTTTATCTTACGGTATAAAAACGAAATTAGATTTAAACCAGGTATACTTCTACAGAATTTACATTTCTTTATAACACAATATTAAATTCCATCTGATTTTTTTTATTTTACAATATGTAAATCGAACACCAATGAAGATATCTTACATCGGAAAATTGTCGAAATCGTATCACAAAGCTTAGAGGCCCGGAGATCTAATATAAACTCTACATAGACGCCCCCACCTAAGCCTCAGTACACATACTCACTACACTGCCCGGTAAACACACCTCACCTGAGAACACTAACAGGATTACACCATGCACGAAGACAACACATTCAACAAGATAACACACATAACCAACTATCAAAACGGAATTGGAAAATTGCTTCTACCTCCTTCAAATACAAAAGCGCTTCTTTAAACACATCACAATTCGACACTATACATCAACGATCCTGCACGACAATTCGTTTTTTACATCGGCCTCTATATATCTTAATATATAAAAATTCAGTGTCCGTGTATATGTTTCGAATGAACTCAAAAACGAGTCAACTGATATTCATGCAAGTTGGCATATACATGTAATTTGGGCCAACTTAATTTTATATGCAATTGTGAAGAACGTGTTACAACTCGATGCCAGTATAATTTCATTGAACAAGCAGAAGAGAGAGCAATTGTATTATTATCATTAAAATTATTTTTAGAGAACAGTAATCAATTGGTTCAATTGTTTAAAAGAGTGTCACCACAATTAAAAACTGACAATTATCAAATTGTCATCAAAGCGGACAAAGTACCTTTCGGCGAACACGCCGGAAGATTCAACGCATCAACCGTTGATGAAGTTTCTATTATTATGGTCAGTGATCCAGTTGACAACAGATTCATAAAAATTACACGCCGAGATAATTCAGTGAGTAGAATTTCATATTTACACCGTTCGTACGATGCACTCCAGTACCCACTGATATTCTGGCAAGGACAGGATGGATATCATATCAACATTAAACAGTGTGATCCAGTCAATGGTAATGAATTAAATAAAAAAGTTAGTTCAATGAACTAATATACGTATCGATTAATGACTAGACATAACTAGGACAACTATATCCTTCGATATCGTCAATTGTATCATCAATACGTTGTGGATATATTTGCTAAGATTAAAAGCAAACGTTTGCGATTCATTCGATTCAACCAAGCTAAACTACGATCAGAGGATTTCATTTCATTTCATTCATTCACTTACGTTAGGCTATTGTTGGAAAGTTCGATGGAAATTTAAACACCAATGAAATCGGCAGTGCTGCTATTTTACCTTCCAGCTACATAGGTAGCCCACGAAACATGCAAGAATACATAGAGGATGCAATGACTTATGTACGACATTACGGTCGTCCAGATTTGTTTATAACATTTACGTGTAATCCTAATTGGGAAGAAATCCTATCTTTACTATTACCAGGTCAACAATCAATACATCGTCACGATATTATTGCACGAGTGTTTAAACAAAAGTTGAAATGTTTGATTGATTTTATTGTATTTTAAATTCAGTTTTCGGCCAAATGTGTTGTTGGCTGTATTTAATTGAGTGGCAGAAACGAGGCTTACCTCATGGTCACATTTTAATTTGGCTTGAAGATAAAATTCACAAGAGGAAATTGTAATTGATCAAGAATTATTGAAATATTGCTACAAGTTTACTAAATGTGTATAAGTGATACAAGCGTTTTACAGAAGGTCGAGGAGATGTTGATGACGCTAACGATTCCTACAAGTCATATGATTCATGGACCGTGTGGAGCTTTTAACATGACATCACAGTGCATGGAAAATGTAAGAAAAATTTTCCTAAGAAATTCACAAACGATACCATTACTGATATTGATGGTTATCCATTGTATTGCCGCAGAAACGCTGACAATGGGCGACATTCATATAAAATGAGAACGTCAAATTTTATCCAATTAGAAATTGACAATCAATGGATGGTACCATACTCACCACTACTCTCCAAAACGTACAAGGCTCATATTAATGTTGAGCTTTGCAGTTCTGTCAAATCCATCAAGTATATTTGCGAGTACGTTAAAAAGGGCAGTGATTTTTAATGTTTTTGGAGTACAAAATATAAACGAAAATGATGAAATAACGCGCTACTAAATGGGTAGATACATTAGCAGCAGCTTTACTTAGCTTTCTCATACATCATAGGGTACCTGCTATCCAACATCTTGCAGTGCATCTTGAAAATGGACAACGTGTGTATTTCACTGCAAAAAATATCCTCCAAAGAGCATTTGAACCATCCAAAAAATAATAACATAATTTTTCGCTTTTTGTCACATGGAACACGTCAGCTAAAAAATAGGAACCACGTAAAAAGGGAGAACCACATTCTTCAATTGTAGGCATATTTTAAGCTAAGACACTGGGTCAACTTTATGCTGTACATCCTATACAACGTAAATGCTTTTTTCTGCGTTTATTGTTGGTGAATGTTCCTGGACCTATCTCTTTTCAATTTTTACCAACAGTTAATAGCCAAGTGTTCAGTACGTATAAAGATGCGAGTCACGCTTTGCAACTTTTGGAAGATGACAACCATTGGGATCTGACACTTGCTGATGCTGCTTTATCGTCCTCGCCGAGTAATATTCGTCAACTATTTGCCATTATTTAGACGACATGTTTTCGAACGCAGTCAAATACATTGTGGGAAAAACATAAGAACTACATGACTGCAGATATACTATACCGACATAAACAAATAAACCACTCTCCAATCTTAGACTTCACACAAGATATGTATAACGAAACATTAATAATGATTGAAGATTTATGTACAATATTATGATCTCAAATTCATCACTTAGTCATTATGGTATTCCATCCCTTAATCGCAAAGCTACAGACTTAGCGCATAGTGATTTGCAGCGAGAAGAACAGTTGAATAATACTGACTTAAATACATTTGTTATTAACAAAGAACCATTATTAACTGACGAGCAGAAGAACATATGCCATCGAATTATATTGGCTGTTGATGTCAAACAAGGCGGTTTTTTCTATTTAGATGCGCCAGGTGGGACCGGTAAAACATATTTGATATCTTTCCTTCTTGCTAAACTACGGTCACAACAAAAAATTGCATTAGCAGTTGCATCATCAGGCATAGCTGCTACTTTGTTGGATGGTGGGCAGACAACCCATTCTGCTTTCAAGCTACCATTATATACTCAGTAACATCAAACAAGTAAGGAAGGGCTAAGTTCGGATGTAACTGAACGTTTTATACTCTCGCAAAGTCAAATGGTATACTCATTTTAGATTTTTTTGTGGATCTCGCCGCGTTGTTCTATGTTCACCGATATTTTCGATAAAAAGTAAATTATAGGCACTGGGGTCCACATATTCTCATCTGGCAGTTTCCATTGAGATGATTGGGTCTTAGTCGACGTCAGCGTTATCAACATCTTCTCGACCTTCTGTAAAGCGCTTGTATCACTTATACACATTTAGTGGACTCACTAAGACAAAGTGGACTCACCGAATTCCACAGTCAATATTTTAAGTGCCTTGGAGCACTTTATTTCATAAGATAAAGTCAGAAATCGAAAAGCACACAAAACCGTGACTAACCTCTTGTCAAAAACAAAGTACTTATCAAAATTGGCTCCTACTGCACGCACATGATAAACATATGTGTCCAATTATCACTCACAAAATATCGATAATCGAATGTACGCAATCCGCGAATAATCAAAATTCCCCTTTTCTTTTGAACACACCTCGTTCTATACTAATATTATTTCTATACAAAAATAATCATTACTTCAAGAAATAAGTTTGATCCTAAAATTCTACTCTTTATATTTATATATTCGAAATTCAGTTTTACCTAACATGACTTGATTATCTTTCTTTGATTTACAGGCTTTATGTTCAAATCATCGCTGAACCTAAGAATAACAAAGTGTCCAGAAAAAGTTTTTCAAAAATTGGATGAGCAGTATTTTGAATGCTGGAAAGGACTGAGGAAAAATTTGAATACTTATTCTTGATATTTGTACGTTGGAAGTGAACTTTGAATTATTGAAACCACTGAACCAGAATTATGCTTTAAATTTAAAATTAAGTTAAAAAGGCAAATTTTCAAAATAAAAAAATAGATGTGTAAGTGTCTAATATGCGATGTTATGGCTTAACTATTGGTATAGCATTATTTTCTGTTACTTCAACTTACCGAAACTTGGCAACTACGGAATGTTGTCACGCTTACAAATTGCTTTTAGTCGAAAAACTATAAAGCCTATGACTATAGCTGTTATTAAAATTTTGTATTAAGGGCCTGGCTCTGTTCTCCTAATAGGTTTAAAGTACATATGTATATCACAAACCGCTAAAGACTTATGTCCTCCTAATGGGTTTAAGGTACATATGTATATCACAAACCAATAAAGACATATAAAACAAACATGGTCCAAACCATGTGCGTCCACTTTTAAGTGAATTCCTGTGTCTCAATCTCTTTATCTTACGGTATAAAAACGAAATTAGATTTAAACCAGGTATACTTCTACAGAATTTACATTTCTTTATAACACAATATTAAATTCCATTTGATTTTTTTTATTTTACAATATGTAAATCGAACACCAATGAAGATATCTTACATCGGAAAATTGTCGAAATCGGATCACTAAGTGTAGAGGCCCGGAGATCTAATATAAACTCTACATAGACGCCGCCACCTAACGCTCAGTACACATACTTACTACACTGCCGGGTATAAACTGGCACATCTTAATAAAACACACCTCACCTGAGAACACTAACTACCTCCTTCAAATACAAAAGCGCTTCTTTAAACACATCAAAATGCGACACTATACATCAACGATCCTGCACGCCAATTCGTTTTTTACATCAGCCTCTATATATCTTAATATATAAAAATTCAGTGTCCGTGTGTGGCTAAATGACCACTCAATCCCCCCTCACCGTAAGACACTGTCACACTACACCAATTCACATCTACATCACCACACCTACTTACCATACATTCCACACCTACATACCATACATTCCACATCACTACACCATGCACCAACACGCACACAAATACAACTTAACACCGATCACACCACCATGAAGACATCAACAGATATATAAGGGACCAAAAGAAGGATCCCGCTTCCCTTTTTTTCATCGACTCGCTAGCGATCAGTTCTTTGAACACCCGCCTAAATCGACTCTCTTTCCTTTTTAATTATTATTTGCTAACGGTGAGTGAAGTTAAAATTAACTTATTAGTTATTGAAATATGGTCCTTCGAGGCCTAGTGGACGGCACTATGGGGTACAAAACATAAAAAAAAAAAAAAAATTTTAAATAACGTGGAAA